TAATTAGTATGTAATTAATACAATAGCTTTGAGAATAAATTAATATTATTGAAAAGGGGAGCATAAAAACAACGCAAGCTTTAATGAAAACATATAATTAGTAATTATTATTAAATAATAATATTTGTAGAATTAATAATAATAATAGTTATCATGATGAAGGATCAATCATAGTTGAAGATTATACTTTACATATTGATTGCTTGACTGACTAATTAATATGTTCTTTTATATATAAACCATATAGTCAACGATTTGAAGTTGTAAATATTAAATTATTATAAATCTTTTATCTCTAACAACATAAGTAAAAATTTCTCTATTGTTGTGAAAATCGTAGATTATTTAGATACAAGATAATTAATAACTATTCTAAATTGTGTAAGACTATTATTCTAAATTGTATTAAAAACCAGGTTCTATAATTTTATATAATTATTTATTTTCGATAACTATAAGAAACAAAGCAGAAATATAAAAATATTTAATTTTTACATTACTTATGAAAATTAGATCGACACTTAGATTAATTAATACAATTGTATAAGTTTGCTAGTAAAATTGATTGAATGACGATTACCGTTGGAGTTGTGGGCGATAGCTTTCAAAGTGTATTTCAGTTTCCGGGGAAAGATCGGTTGTTTTGGCTTGACGGAGCCCAACCATGGTAGTGACGCAGAAGCCATGGAGACTAAAGCCATTTACGACGATAAAAAGGTCTACAAATTGAACGGCAGCAAAACATGGTTAGTACTTTCCATCGTTTCTTTCACGATTGAGCGCAAAAGTCAGACTATCGAATCTCGTTTATGATCACAAACTCGCCTGTCGCCGACGTGTTGATAGTATAGGCGAAATGTGATGACGGTCAGATCCGTGGGTTCGTCATCGAGAGAGAAGCTGCGGGAGATCGGTTGTCTACCCCAAAGATTGAAGGGAAGTTTTTTCTAAGAACGTCCATCACCGGCATGATTCTAATGGACAACGTAATCGTACCAGAAGAAAATTTATTGAACGTTCAGGGACTCAAAGTAAGTCTTTCCAATAAACTAGAAGGACTTACCTTATATATAATACATCCTTGACC